CTTGTTTTAGGGGCAGCACCGCACTCAGATCACTGAAATCTGTGCCCCTTTCAGCTCAAAACTGGAAAAGCAATGGGGGGATTTTATTGCACTGCCTTTGTCAAACGTGGGCAGCATCTGACCCTTAGACAGATGAACCGATGCTCTGGAAAGAAGCACAGAGATATAGCTAGGCCTGGGGGAGGAGAGGTGTATAAACTCCAAGGCAAGAAAAGGTCACATCTGTAAGATTAACTGTAAGACTAGAGGTTGAGTAGGCAGTCTCCTGAGCTTTCTTCCAGCCTGAATTGTATGAGACACTATAACTTAAATTTCTCCATCCCTGATGGTGTAGGACAACAATGCAACCTTCTACATATACAGGTCAAACAGACCTCTGTTTAGCCTTGCTGGTACAATAAAGACATAGATGTGTCCATGACTATTTATGATTACTGAAGCCACTGCCAACATAAATCTTCAGTTGTGATTCACCTCTCCTGACTATTTCCCTGTTTTCTCTTGAATTCTGGTTCTCAACTCGACCTGATATTAAGAATCTTAGTCAAAATGCTTTAACTTCATTATTTATTGCATAAAAATTGTATTAAAAATGCAATGTGTTCCAAGTTCATCTTGAAAGGGCCACGGATGAATTAAAAAACCTGTTTGGATTCACTCATAAAAGAGATATTTGCATAAACTAATATATTTTAGGTTGAAGTGCTGTGTTTGTAGTGAGATCCTAAACCTCACTTCTGTTTTGTCTTCCTGTGCTTCACTATGACCATTTCACCCAAATCACAGGTTTTACTATGTGGACACTATTTGAAAGTCTTTTAGAGAATTTTAGCTTGGGAATATGGTTGAAAGAGAAGACAATAGAAGCTGGTATTTTTTTTTGCTTGGTTGGTGTGGGGTTGTTTTGGGGTGGTTTTTTTTATAATTATCTGCTTAAAAGAACCCTACATATATTAACATCTCGGAGAGGTTTTACTTGTGATGTGTTTTAGGATATCTTGTGCTTAATGAGGAATTTGCTGGCAAGGAAGCTAAGGATTGCATCTTGTTAGACCCTACAGCAACCAAGGGATTACCAGGCTCATCCTATTTTCTTTAATAGGGTGGTCAAATATTCAGATAACACTAATATCATGATTCAGGAACTGTAAATATCATAAATTACCTTTATAGCTACTTGTTTATCACCAAGTACAGCATTCCTGGAGAGTGGCCATGTGTACATGTAATCCTGAATTAAAGACCAATGGATAGGAATGGCTGGTGATTATCTGATTTAACAACCTATCCCAGCTATTTGAGAAGCACATTACCACCTCTGCATTTAAGCACTGGAAATTTTAGAAAGAAAACCAGTAAGGACTATTTTGCAATGTAAATATATGAACCTTGGTAAAAAGGAAGGATTGACAGCTCAGTAATATATTCTTCAAGTCTGTCTACAACTCTGTATATAAAGAAAATCAGAAACAAATTTGAGTAAAGTGAGATGGACATCTCAAACCTAATAATATTTGCTTTACATTTGCTCCTTTTATTGCTTGTAAGTCATATGCAGTTACATAATTTTCATTAACATTTTAACATTGCATCATACCATGAATGAGTTTATTATCACAGTCAGACCCTGTCTAGCATAGATTAACTGAATTCCACCCACTGCCACTTGACTCACTTCTTGCAATAACACAGTTCTTTGGCTTTTCTCTTCAAAGGATCTCTTAATCTGAAAAAAAACCCAGGGAGTTTCTACTGATTGAAATGAAGTTTATCAATAATTTTATGCTTACAGATGTATTTCTGTTGTGTTGGCTGTGCTCAGATAGTCCCTTAAGCTACATAATTTCTATTCCATTAATTAACTCAATAATAATTTCTATCATGAAAGAAACAGAGGGAAAATACAGAAATTTTAAAACTTTATGAGCAATATAGCTGTAGATATCAATAAAAACACGCATTCTTATTAATGTTCTGATAATAACTAAAATATAAATATGCAATATTTGTATCAAATAATAACAACAGCTAAAATACTGTTGAAGTAAAGTTGCTAACTCTGTGCTTTCAGGTAGTTTAGGGAAGCAGTTTCTAGTAATAGAACAAAAATTATTGTGATCAAAGCTTCAGTTATTCTTTAAAATATTTATTTATTCTGACATTCAAACTTTACAGATGGTTCTTGTCTTGATAACAAGCTGAAGTTCAGAGATGTTCAAACTACTTCAGTTTTAATTAGATCAGTTTTTTCTAGCAAGCCACTTATTTAAAAAAGCAAACCTCTCCCCTCCCAAAACAAACAAACAAACAACAAAAGAACACTACCAGGGCTGTTTGACATTTTAACATTATTCCAAAGATACCATTCATCAGCACCGTGTTGCAATTTGTGAAATCAATAGCTAAAGCTTAAGTTGTTGATATATAAAACTCCACTAATGCAGAGGATGTTCGCCCTGTGCACGGGTTAGCATCCTGCCCAATTCTACACCTCTCCGGGCTCCTAGCACGTAAAGGGATGTAAGATTATCCATACTATTTTCATTTTTAAATCATAGCTCCAAAAGCATTTTAAATGACAGAGTCCGAGTGCCTGTCTCTCGTGGACCACAACAGACCCGCAGAGCTCCCTCCGCTCACGGCCCTTGCTCGGCGCGCTCCGACACTGCCCTCTGGTGGCTTCCTTGCAGAACAACGGCAGGCAGGTCTAGTTTAAGGATAGCCTCCTCTTGGAATGCAGCCGCATAGAATAGGGGTGTTGATTTTGTCTTCTAAATCCACATTAACACAATTACATGTCTCAAAAGTGGTCTTCCAGCGCGAGCTTCTTGCATGCTCCCCCAGTGGTGCTGGTCCTCCAATGAGCTGGACAATTGGATCAAAAGTCTGATCTGGTTACAACGGCTATGATGATGCTGGAAAAAAAATTAAAAGTGATGAAATATTTTTTCTACATATTGGAAAGATTAGTCTTACACGATTAATGTTTGATAACAGTTTAAGTCACTTGCAGCAGAAGGAGCAGCTATGTACTTTACACAAAAGAACAGACCAAGGAAACAGTATGAAAACAGAACAGGCAAAAAAGATAACTAGGGACACTGAAAACTAGAAACTGCTTATTCTGACTATCACCTACAATGTTATACATACCTTGCAAACCCAGAGAAACCTCAAAAAGCAAATGGTATTAATTAGTAAAGCTGGCAGATAATCTTCACTGGACTCTCAAGTTCGTGGGAATGCTGAAATAACAGATATTCCTCAGGTTCACTCTAGTTCATGGGGCATCACAGGAAGGCTTATTCTGTTGCTGCATTTTGGGTTTGGTCTGCAGCACTAAAAAAATCTTATATATTTTTTTCAAAAACTTGAAACAAAAAGGTATCATGTATACTTCCCACAGATTGTATGAAGACTGTCATCTGCAATATTTCACAGAATTGAAAAAGAAACATTTCTCCTTAAGAATTAGACTATTCTCTGTTTAGAGGATTGACTAGTATATAAGCAGCTATGGAACAAAAGTAAGATTTCAAAATTTTCCTTATGTAAAGCAATCTGTAATTTTTCCTCTTCTAAAGAGAAGATAGAGTGATAACATCTAGAATTCTGCAAGGAGAATACTCATAGCTAGAAAACTAGCAGGTAACAGTGATTATCTCACTAGCTGAAAATACTGGTGGTCTTAGTAATTTGATATATAGTAATTTGATATAACATATGACTGAAAACCTCTAAAGAGACTGGATAAGAAAAAACGAATGCTCAGTTCTCAGAGAAGCGAACAAGAATTTTGTTTCAAAGTGATCCAGGTTAAACTTCACAGAATCCTGGTCTAAGTATATAACTTAATAGAGATTTATGCATAAAGGATTCGCTTGAATAAATCTTTTGGTTTCTGATATTGTAACATAGCATGTCACTGCTGTAGTTGTTCAAAGGGCATTCAGCAAGTCTAAGAATGTGAGAATGAATTTCAGTTCACTTCAGCCTCATGAGAGGCTTAAGAAGAGTTGGTCTCAGTTCAGCACAGAATAATTTGAGCTTTTTTGTTTGGGAAGAAACTGAGCAAAGCATCACTGATGTTCTCAAATGCCTCTTTCAGTCCGCCCACACAAGCAGAAATGTTACTGATGTCTGCAGCGCTTAAGAACAGAAACCTTCTGTGGAAGATCTGGGTAGCAGTGACAGATGGCAGCTGGGGGGCATTACTTTTCTTAACCTTTATCATGCTCCTAAGATGCACTGGTCATTCCACTAGCAGTAGTGACATTCAACTGAAATCTGCATTTTGCTTTAACAGGTTTTTCCTCCTCTCCTCACTTCTCATTGCTTTACTCATTTCTGTTTTCAGAACTCTTGAATGACTCTCTGAAGCCCATATTTTTATGTACATTAGCACTACACATTTATTGACATTGCACACACCCTTTCTCTCCCTCCAACACACACCCTCATAAGCCACAATTGCTTTCACATTTCTAAGATCTCACGTGCTCAGGAGTTCCTATGAGACATTGAGAGATCAGTGACACAGGGTGTCTCTTAACCACAGGAACATTTTTCCTTTTCCATC